GCAGCACTGATGAGTATTGCTATCAATGTTAGCATGGCAATTAAATGACTGAATGAGCCTTATGGTAAATGTTGTGCATTCCTGTAATTAAGTTATGATATCATTGGATAATTATACCTGCAGTGTAGGGTTGACATGTTGGTGTTTAAATGGTGATACAACCCTACAGGGACTTGTTTGAATTCATTTTATACTTTTAAACCAGCAACCTTACAGGGTCTTGTTTGAATTCATTTCATAGGTTCAAATCCAACAGAGGCTCAACCCTACACTAAATATTTTTTTGTTCTAGTTTCCATCCTTTTTTTGAAGAACTTAAGCAGTTGTTCCAGAAAATAAATAATATTGAATAAAATAAATAATATTTGTTAAAAAACAAAAATTATTATAGTTAGCACTGAAAAATATATTTTGACGAGAGGAGTTTTGAAACGTATTCATTACAGGAAACCTAAAAGAAGACAAACAAGAAAAGTCATGTTAAGAAAGCATCAAAGTGTGACAGTATTGGAATGAAGGAAATTGATGGAAGTTGCATTCCATGCTATGATTCTAGGCTACGTTACACTAAGGAACAAAATAATGTTGAATAAGAAAAATTTGTGTTATACGTGTATTAGTCCTTGAAACTAAATTATGGAAATTTAAGTGGTATTATTTGTAAATTAAAGTGTTTGTAAACTAAAGTGTCATGCATAATGTACAGGAAATAAAGAAAGAGTGAAATTTTAAAGTATTATAGATGTACTTACACATATTGATGGAGCTCCAGTGTGAGATAGAGAGGGAGATACATGGGGGAGGGAGAGAGGGAGAGAGAGTATGAATCTGACAATGTATACATGTACACAATATTGGCAACTAAAGCAGCAAGTGTAGTTTCCCATATAGAAAAACCAAGGTTGTAGCATGATTGTTGCAACCTTGTAACAAGTTAGTTGTCACTAAGTTGTCACTACCCAGTCACAACCTTGTAAAAACCTTGGATTTGGCAGGGTTTTTGGCTTGTGACAACTAGGTCACAAACTTCTCACATGTACAATAAATTTAATAGAAAAACTTTAATCTGAAAGACTATCAAAACATCATTATTATTGACATCCTAATCCCATATACTGTATAGTGGAAAATTTTCGTGGCCCAAAAATTTTGCGGATCCATTCAAAAATCAATTTTGTGGCTTTAATTTTTGTGGTTTTCTACTTTTCAGCCATCTTCTCATGGATTTTGAAAAAAAAACACAAAATCCACAAATAATTTGGGCCATGAAAATTTTCCGCTATACGGTAGTTTCAAATGATTTCTAGATACTTGTAATGTATCTATGATACATGTAGCTAATGTATAAACATGTGGATGTGTATTATTGTTATCTTTATTGACTTGTATAAGTGTTGGTCAATGGTCGCTTTATACATCATAGCAAGAGTGGATAAGGAGGAGGGGAGAGTGTCTAACTGCCCTATGCTGCTAGTGATATGTGCGCGTAGAAGTCTTTCACAGTTTGTTTAGCACCTTCTTTGACCTGTTTAAACATCAACAGCCATGATAGTAAATGGGTGTGTTTTTAATAACCTATATGGTGCACCCACCCACACGTGTAGTCACGATGTTTCAAGAGGAAGAATCAGAACTACAGCACAATCCAGATGATCACGACTGTTACAACAGATTGAGAGCATCTAATCTTGATGAGCGTCATGCCACTACACCTAAGCGCCCTAAAGCATCAAGAAAGAGGACATGGAGTCAAGAGTCAGAAGCCTCTGCTCCAGTGAACTCAGATCTGTAATACTTCGTTTTTAAGATCAACAGCAGTTAACAGCCCGTCTCAAAAGTACATGTACCACATATTCTTTCACTTCTATCACTATCCTTACTCTTGATGTGGGTCCCAAGGGACCAGACTAAAGGAGGATGATCATTGATCAAGAGCTTTTAATGTGTCAATAACAAACATGGTTTGTGTGCTTGGAAACTACAAATCTCTTCAGAGTGGTACAAAGTGACTGGTACAACAAGGTGAGGTCAAATTCTGCTTCCAAGGTCTCTGTATGGTCTCTTGCTGCTCAGTTCAGCAGCCATTTTTATATTACAGTTAACTTAAGTACACGCCCAACTATGGCTTCAGTGCAGTTATCACTTATTGTGCTAAATAAGGTATGCGGGAATGTACAAATAATAACCATGAAACTTCTACGCGCACATATCACTAGCAGCATAGGGCAGTTAGACACTCTCCCCTCCTCCTTATCCACTCTTGCAAATACTATACTGTTATAATCTTATCACAATACATCTGAACAACCACAAACCACACAGTAATAACAATACATAGCTTCTGATAGCAAAGCAGGAGGTTAATTAGTGGTGAATAATTAACCAATTTGACCACACCCTTCATGAATATTAATGAGCCCGGGTTTTCTTGGATTTCTAGATCCGCCTATGGTTGTGTAATGGTAGAGTTACATTATAATTGTGTAGTGGGAAATTTAATGAAATACCTGGTAATACTTCCTACCATTTTGTATATAGTGGATAATTTTGGATTGTGAGTAGGTTAAAATTTAAATTTTCTAAGAGCCATTTGTTAAAATAAAACCTGCCGTTTTAGACCCGCCTAGTATAATGATGTATGTTTCTTTTACAACATATTCCTCTTACAAATTATTTTTTCTCTCCTTCCCCTTCTTCTCTCTCTCTCTCTCTTTTTCTCTCTCTCTCCTAGCCTAAGATTCTTGATGCTCATGATGATAAAGTCCGTTCCATGACATACACTGATAATGATCTCGTTATTAGTGGGAGTGGCTCCAGTGATGGGTACGCTAATGTATGGAAACTGATGAACTTGTTTTCACGAGTAGTTAAAACTGGTTGTATTAATAAATAGGTTAATTAATTAGGGGGCGGGGCATGTACTTGTTTTTATTTTGTATTTGATTTTTAATTTTTTGTGCTTATTAATGGAAAAGGTATTTACGGGTTCTGTTGTTCCTTTTTTTTATCAATTATTATTATTCTTGTTATTATTATTACTATTATTATTATTATTATTGTAATTTTTTATACACAAATATGTGTAAAAAATAGTAATTTATTATCCAACACAGTCTGAAATAACTCACATAAAAAAAGTTACTGGTTGCTACTGTTGATATAATTTGGAAAGAAACAGAAATAGTTTAAAGTCTCCTTTACTTTTTATCATTAGTGAATAGGTAGAATACGATGAAATATATCGACTGAAGGACTGAACCAATGAAATTGACAAACATCATCAGATTAATCATTCACTACAATACCATATAACCACATAAACCACCACATTCCTCTGTAATGAAGCAAAGCAGATACAATGTCATTCACTAACTCTCCGTCTCTCTCTCTCTCTCTCTCTCTGTAACTATGAGCTATAGCCCTTTTCTTCAATCATTATTATTAATATCTAATTTAGTGCTTTTGCATGTTATCATTTAAATCCAAACCCATGGACAAAAAACACCTACAATAATAACTGTAATAACACTACACTATATTACACTAGTAATAGGTACATGGCATTTGAAGCAACTTTTAAAATTTTTAAAAATTTAATTTTGATCAGAGTCAGCCCAAACTTTCTACGCAATATAAGTACATTTAAAAAATTTTATTATAGAGTATTCTCTCCTAGTAATTTTGGTAAAATAACCTGTACTATAACACTTTAATGGCAAGCTATTGTAGTACAGTCAATTGAAGTACATATACATTGTACTGATGCATAAATGAACAAATTCCTAATATGCACATGAAGCCAGAAACACAGATTTGTACTACAAGTACAAATATGAAAATTCTAAAAAAATTTTCAAATTATGCGTGTACAGCTACACTTGTATCGTGTACATGTCTTCCTAGAATTCCGATTTGTTTTAATGCGTGAACAAATTAAGAAACATGGCAATCTCCACCTGTACATGGATACTCCATATACTGATAGTGGCTTAGTGTATATGAATCACAACTAGTGTTTTATTTACTCTTTTATAGTGGTTGAGAATATTAGTGTAAAATTACAGCAATTACAAATTACAAATCACAAAATTACAACACAAATTAGCTACTAATCTGTTGGAAGTTTTGTACATATGGTATAAAGGAACAAATATTCCTAGTATACATGCATGAACTCAGATTTGTACTACAAGTACAAATTTGAAAATTCTATGTAAAACTCCAAGTCAATATAAAAGTACATGCATGTGTACATAATTTCATAAAATTTTGATTTGTTCAAGTACAAGTCACCTCCCACCTGTTCACATAAACCACCACATTCATCTGTAATGAAGCAAAGCAGATACAATCACAATGTCATTCACTAACTAACTCTCCTTCTCTCCCCCTCTCTCTCCTCCTATACATTGTAATTGAGGCATAATCCTTTCTTTAATGATTATTTTTAGCAATTTAGTAGCAATTTATTACGCAATACAGTCTGTAATAGATAAACTTGTAGCAACTATCTTTCATTTTAAAATTCAGTAATGAAATACCTCTCATAAAAACCGTTACTGGTTGCTACTGTGAATATAATTTGGACAAAAATAGAAATACCGTATAGTGCTTTATTTTGGTGGCGTCTTATTATGGCAATTTTGCTGTAAAATTATAATTGGCGGTTTTTAATTTGGCGATTTTTGTGTAGACGTGCATTACTGAGCATGCGCATTAATGATTGGTGGTTTTAATATTGGCGATTCTGCTTGCAAACCGCCAATCACCAAAATAAAACTCCGCCAAATTAAAGCGCTATACAGTAATTTAAAGTGTTCTTTATAAACTTTATCATTAGTGAATAGGTAGAATATGATGAAATATATTGACTGAAGGACTGAACCAATGAAATTGACAAACATCATTGGATCATCATTCACTACAATACCATAACCACATAAACCACCACATTCATCTGTAGTGAAGCAAATCAGATACAATCACAAGGTCATTCCCTAACTAAATCTCTTTCTCTCTGTAATTGAGCTATTCCCCTTTTCTTCAATCATTATTATTTATATCTAATTTAGTGCTTTTGCATGTTATCATTTAAATCCAAACCCATGGACAAAAAACACCTACAATAATAACTGTAGTAATACTACACTATATTACATTAGTAATAGGTACATGGCATTTGGAGCAACTTTTAAAATTTACAAAAATATAATTTTGATCAGAATCAGTCCAAACTTTCTATGCAATATAAGTACATTTAAAAATATATATTATAGAGAATTCTCTCCTAGTGATTTTTGGTAAAGTAACCTGTACTAAAACACTTTAATAGCAAGCTATTGGAGTACAGTCAATTGAAGTACATGTACATTGTACTGATGCATAAATGAACAAATTACTAGTATGTACATGAAGTCAGGCACACAGATTTGTACTACAAGTACAAATATAAAAATTCTAAGAAAAATTTCAATTATACATGTGCAGCTGCTTTTTTATCCTGTACACGTCTTCCTAGAATTCTAATTTGTTCAAGTACATGCACAAGCTAAAAAAATTCAATCCCCACCTGTACATAGATACTGCATATACTGATAGTGACTTAGTGTATATGAATCACAACAAGTGTTTTATTTACTCTCTTACAGTGGTTGAGAATATATTAGTGGAAAATTACAGCAATTACAAATTACAAATTACAGCACAAATTAGCTAATAATTTGTGGGAAGTTTTGTACATATGGTATAAATGAACAAATATTCCTAGTATACATGCATGAACAAAGATTTGTACTAGATCTATAAA